TAACCTTAGTGTCTTCATACTCCTGTAGATGTCTCTGCTGAGGTGGCATGCATTCGTTCAATGATGAGAAGAATATTGGTAACGTATCTGGTCATTCATCAACGTAACACGCCGTTATTTAGGCTGTTTAATGGGCTGGGATTTTTTCCCGTGACTTCATCCCACAATGCTGTATTATAAAGCCCCTATAATATCAATTTGATTGAAACATGCGGCATTGTGGCATACCTTGAAAAACGGGTAACGTATCTGGTCATTCATCAACGTAACACGCCGTTATTTAGGCTGTTTAATGGGCTGGGATTTTTTTCCCGTGACTTCATCCCACAATGCTGTGTTTATGCAATAATACATGCTATTTCCCTATTATAAAGCCCCTATAATATCAATTTGATTGAAACATGCGGCATTGTGGCATACCTTGAAAAACGGGTAACGTATCTGGTCAGATATTAGCGACGTGTGGTTTTAGGCTGATGGACCGATATTGATGCGACCACTAAGGTTATTGTGATGCATTTTCTGTTGCCTATATACTGCTGTATCTGAATGAATAGGAAATACCACGAAACCCACGTAGATGTATCAACCTGACGGATTTTCCCAAACGTCATATTGCTGGAGACAAGGAAAAATTGCATTTTTAACCACTTTGAGGTCAAATATGTTTCTTTTATTAGTTTTCAGTCAGCCAAATTCCCCTGTTTAGTGTTTAGTACCAACCTTGCCCTTAATATTGGTCGGTAATTAGCAGGTGTATACCATCAAAGACAGCAAAAATGATGTTTTGTACGCTTTATCTGAGAATGGCCCATATATGCGTGTATACATAAACTATATGTGATTTTAGATCATTATATGCTCGGGATTGCAATAATTGTAGATCCGGCCTGTGTATAACGCTCCGCCGGCCCTGGCAGTAAATCGATTTCATCTGCTGTAAGTAAAAATGCATGTCTAGTTTATGAAATGTTAAAACATTTACACTCTAGCATGAAAAATAGGTGTATTAAAACATGTTCAATGCAGTTTTAACAGTTTTAACAATAGTTTCAAGCATGAAGAAGCATTACTAACCTTGCATGCCATCAATGTTTACTTGCTGCTGTGGCTGCAGTGGCTGTTGTTGCTGCTGCTGCTGTTGCAGTGGCTGCTGCGTACGCGGTGGCTGCGGACGCTGCTGCCTCTGCTGCTGTGGCTGCAGTGGCTGTTGTTGTTGCTGCTGCTGCTGCTGCTGTTGCAGTGGCTGCGGACGCTGCTGCCTCTGCTGCTGTGGCTGCAGTGGATGTTGTTGTTGCTGCTGCTGCTGCTGCTGTTGCAATGGCTGCGGACGCTGCTGCCTCTGCTGCTGTGGCTGCAGTGGCTGTTGCTGTTGCTGTTGCTGTTGCTGTTGCTGTTGCTGCTGCTGCTGCTGCAGTTTTTTGTTGCTTTTTCTCCTTGGTGAAAACAAAGCGAAATTTTGTGAACGTAGCAATACAAATAAGTTGTAGTGGATTTTTGCAACATATGCGAGCTCGCAGTAGGTATATCTATGTATCTAGTTGCGAGTTTCATTCACTTTAATTTATACTGATGTGAATACATATAGCATTTTTTAATGACTTACGATACCTATAATCTTTTTTATTTTTTAATGCCCGCTTCACTTCATGGAGCACTGCTCCTTCTGGCAGGGCAGGATCTGCAATTAGTTCATGAAGCTGCAAAGGAAAAGTGTAACTAGTCACTTTTTCATGATTTGGTTGTAGTTAATGTGTAGTTTGTAATTAGTGACATATGTGACTATACTGTGTAAGGTGTGCATAACATATAGTATTTACTCACATGGGCCACCGCTTTATTCACTCCTCCCTTGTTACTGCCATGTAACTCTAATTGGCTGTGCAATTCTCGCTGGAATTCAGTAACAATGTGCTAGATAAAGTGCACTCTATTGTTCAAATCATTTTTTTATTTAGGTTTTCAAAATAGAGTGTGAAATAAATGCTAATTTATAAGTATTTCAAGTATGGGCAAAACAGTACGTCGTATGGTAAATGAGTGTACGATTCTTACGAGAAAAACTTTTCGGGCCTCGCCCATTTTATGTTTTCCTCCTCGCTTGAATAGCTCTGACACATCACATTCCATTAGTGGGTTCATCCTGTAAGAAAATGTTACGTGTGCTTTATAATACTGGGAAATATACAACTTTTTTAATCTCAATCAGGCCCAGAAAATCTTATTGACTAGCGTGCAAGTTGCAGACAGCAAAATTTACGAGCCGGGACTCTAGGCAATCGCAGCCAAGCTTGCATGAAAAACTCCGCAACGTCTGCGCTAGGCTTAAGTCGTCATTTTCAAGGCCGTCATTAACTTGTAAGTCGCGCTCTCCAACACTGTTCCATGTAATACAAACAACGACTTAATGTTACCTGATCTGTAAGTGGTCACGTAAGATCACGCTATAACGGGGCCGCACTGCATATATATATATAGAAGTAAAGAAATACAGAATTATATAGGATTAAAATTAAATGAGAGGTTAATGTATAATTTATTATTAAATATTTTATATTTAAATTATTATTTTATTTATTTATTAATTATTATAATTAAAATTAGAATTATATAGGATTATTTGATTCTATTGCCAATGTCTGCTGACCTGATAAAGAGATGTAAATCTCGAAAGCTTGTATTCCAAGCTTGAAAAACACCCTTATTCTATACCATGACTTTGTTTATATATAATATATATACTTATGACAATAATACTATACCTAGATATATTATATATATCTAGGGGTTTAATATTGACAAATTCTCCATTATTACTCCTGATATATATATATTATATATACTATTATAAAAAAAAAAAAAATATAATGATAATATATTATATATCTCAGTAGAAAGCATAGACGCAATCCGAGAGAATCATGACTATGATGATTAGGTAATGCAAATCGTTTTTTTATTATAAAAATTTAAATTAGATATAAAACTAATAACATGTGATTTGTAATCTCGATGATTTTATTCAGTTTATTTTCTTCATTATTCGTCATTCACATTGCGAACCGTCGGTGCATTGACAGAATTATTTTAATCTTATATAATGATAATAATACTTTTTAATGTTCCTCAACCATTGAGAAATTGTATTGTATGAATGTAATGGAATTAATCGTCGATGATTACTCGTAGTGCAATTGAAGAAAGTTGGAATTATATATAGCTAGATGGTAATTATGTGTTTGTAATTATCGTAAATGTAAATTAATTGCTCATCTGTCGTGGGAAATGAGTATCAACTCAAAATTGTAGTAATAAACGCTATCAACCACAGGTGCAATGCCGGCATCACAGCGTACTTGTTTTATTCTTTGGTGTGTTTGTTCGTTTAACGTTACTTGTTTAAATAACATCGGTTCATAAAGAGTATATACTATACACCAGTAATGACAGTACATGCAGTATAAGTTAAAGAATGCTGCTAAATATGTTCGCGAATTGCGTCCGACCCCGTGAGAGAGAGTGCGATAATGACACGCGACCGCAAAAATTGTCGCGTCATGTTCTGAATTCGCGAAAAATATGTCGTGGCAGTTACATACCTGAACACAACAGGATACTTTTATATCGTTTTACATGGCATATATATAAAGTAATGTGGTAACACAACGTGAGAATGAGGTTTGCGCAAAAATGAAATAGATAAAATTTTCGCGCTTGAAAGTTTCTGGTCATGCAGTTATACTTAATAATTTATGATAAGCTAACTCACTATATAATTAATACTAATGTCTGGCTTTCCATGTGCTGAGGCTGGGGTTCGTTCAAACCATCAGCTTCAGTAGTTTGTTATTTATCTGGACAAAAAGGTGCATATAAATTAACCACTTACTTTTCAGGCTTGTAAGGTATCCCGGCGAAGTAATGGATTGTCTGCTCAGACAGTTAGAAACTGGCGGGCAAGGTGATTTAGGAATGCATCGGTGTGCATTTCGGGCTAGTCCCTTTTAAGCGGGTTTTACTAGTTGTATGCGGTTATATGTGCGTCCATTTTGTAGCTGAATTTAGGCTTCCCGAGACGCGCCTCTAGACGCTTCTTTGGCGTCTTATAGTCGTTTTGGTGATGGTTTTGTCGCGGCTGAACATGTTCCCCTTGGGCCGGTATTACTGCTGAATACTGTTTATGACGGCTCGTGAACACGTTATGGCCATCAGTCCACCACCAACATGCGTGGTTAACACAAAAAACCGAGTTCCTGTAGACACCAGGGTTGCGGACAGCTCGTGAACACCCCGCGCCCGCTCAGTCTGATAAATGCTTGTCCGGTCCGATTACAACCAGGTGCTAGTAAGCCCCCGACTGGTGCGTGTTAGAATTGGTCATATGAGAGCTTGCACTGAAAGATCAACCCTCTGGCTAGACCTGGTTCGGCAGGGCCAGCACATGTTTGTCGCAGAGCGTGTACGTTGTCTAGCAGGCGTGAGGCCGGATACCAGTCTAACCCTTTGGCAAAAACAATAACGTGGCTAGCTGCCAGCCCGTAGACGATTCGATAAAACTATGCGCTCGTCTATGCATGTGGTAGAATACGAATGCTGCACGTGAGCTTGGCCCACTCGCGATTTAATGCGCGGGAAACAGCATCTATGAATTCATACGATGACACACTCTTATCTAAATAAAGTTGTTCATAACAATGGTCTGGGTCTGGGCTAGTGAAAGTTAGGTCAGGGCTAATGGTTTTCCTCAGTTACTAGCCCGATGGTCTAGTGAAATAAAAAGTTAATGTTGAACCCTGATCACGGCACCAAATGTAACCCCGTACTTCTCTGGCGTGGTAAAAAGGCTGTAGGTGTGATGAATAGCAACAGCGTAAGACAAGAAGCAAACACGAACTAGTAAAGTAACGTACCACAAACAGTTATATTGTTCATAATGTAACTAACAAGTAAGGAACAGAAGCGTAAGGACGAATGCGTACAACAAAGTGTAAGAGACAGTCAAACAAATAGAAAGGGAGTGCCTCCTGCTCCCTGTTGCGGCACTCTTAAATATACCCGAATTTTTTGTTTGACCTCCCCGGTCACGACGTGCGCCAGCTGCGAGTTACAATATATTATCCCGCACTCCGGCCCCTCTGTTGACGTCGTTAGCTACCTTATTGCTTTCATTATTACCCACACGCTGCATCACGCGCATCGAATATCTCGTATATTTACCGCTGGCTTATCGCCAACGCAACCCGCACGGCATCACGCCTGAACTGATCGTAATTAACAAGCTAGCCTGAAACCAGCCCCTTTACACTTATGAACCATAGTCCAGCAAGATATGTGCAATATATTGACAGAATTGTGCTTTTTTGGATAAAAGCATGAAATTTGGCACACGGTTAGAACATGTCCTTAGAGAGATTTTTGGCTATAGGGGCATCGCAGATTTGTCCCATGGCAACAATGGCGGCCATTTTCCAAGATGGCCACCATTCAATTCCATTATCCTTCATTTTCAGCTAATATTCAACATAGAAACATGATCTTGGTGCCTAAACTAACATTATCGGGGTCAAGAACCACATTGCAATCAAAATCATCGGTCGGAGGCCGCCATCTTAAATTTCAAAATGGCCGCCATTCAAATCCATTATCCATTTCAATTTACTTCAATTCAATTCAATCACTTTATTTACACCTGACAATTACATTTTAAAGGTATATTAGTTCAACAAAGCTAATAAATTGAAAATGGTGGTGTTGGGGAACGCGGTGGGTACTATTTACAACACGCTAGCAACTACCCAACTACATATATCTGGCATTCAAGGAACTAAATAATAGCAAAACCATCAACATATTTAATATTGGCGGAGTTATACATGTTTTCGAACTGTAACATGTGAGAGTATAATGCAGTACTTCCCAGTGTTTCCTTTATAATACTTGGTAGTTTATTTATATGACCACATAGTTTACGAGATTATGCTGTTTCTTGCAAATCAATATTGCATGTCCCAATGTTGTTTGTTAGTTGTGAGCACAAATCCACGACAATCCCTCAATTATTAACCAAGTAAGGCCTTTCATAGCAGTATTACCTGTTTTCAATGAATTGCAATGTTAGTTCTGAGAACACAGTCCACAACAGAGGCAAATGGCAGTGCACTGAAGTGCTGCCTTGACACAATTGCACCTTCCGCTACACCCCTTTTTGCATCTACAGCTGAGGAGTCCGCGACAGGCCTTGGTCGCTTCTGGTAGTGTGGTCCAGTGAACCTCCCATCCACCTGTGTCCTTCCTCTTCCACCCCCAGTCACCTGGAGATGGGGGTTCTGGGGCTGCAACCATCACACAGCAAGCAACTACATACCACACAGCAAGCAACTATCACACTCGGTATATCTGCAACTGTCCTCATATCTAAGAATTTCAGTTTGCGAAATTTGCTTTTCAGTAGGCCAAAGCACCGTTCAATGTCAACCCGAGTAGAGCTCTGTTTGTAGTTGAACGTTTTCTCCTCGGTAGTCAGGTGGCCATTATCCCTGAAAGGCTAAAAATTCTAGGTGGCCATACAGGGGGCTGTTCTTGAACACCCTTGAGTCGTGTACAGAACCCGGATATGCAGAAAAATACATCCAAAAAACGTAGTCTGCTATCACAGACTGCCTGCAGATGGAAAGCAGGAAAACCTTTATGGTTACAAATATGGCCACTTTATGGTAACAAATAAAATAAAATTGAGTCTGTATAATATCAGTGTTTTTTGTTTTTTTCTTATTAAGTACTATCCAAACTTTATGAAACGAGTAAAAAAAAGATAAGTCTGCTGCGTGTTGCCATGGTAACGAAATGTAATGAATCACGTGATGGACGTGACGTGGACGGACAAATTACGATTTTCAAAGCATTATGAAGTAAACAAATTTAGAAAAAAGCCTTGCATGCATTTTAGAAGATGAAATTTCTCAACAGTCCAAGAATTTATAATATAGCCGTGTCCCAAGCTGCACAATAGTCGGCTCTGCCAGTGTCTTTGCAATATCGTCATCGCCAATTTCATATGGATCGTCGGAAGGAACATGCATGTGCTTGTGTCCTCTCTTTGGAACGAAATATCTAATCCCCAAAGGCATAGTCGATGTGACCTACAACACAAAAAAGCCACAAGATATTTAGTAAGGAAATTAAAGACTTGATGGAACACAATATAAAATAACAGTGTATTTATGATCAATTCATCGCATCGTGGTACGGAAGTAATGTACTGTTTTTTCATGGTAAGAGTTACAAATAAAAATAGCGCTATCTCTAGATATTCAGCTCAATTATGAAATATCGAAATATGACGTTACACCCCTGATTACAAAATATCAATACAGAGTATTATACTTGGTAAATATCACACTGGTGCTAAATAATATAATTATTATCATACAAACTAGTAATAAACTGGTGATCTGTTTTTTTGCAATAAAGAACAAGAACAAGAACAAGAACTTCCCAACTGCGCATTTGGTGTGAATGTTACTATACTCACCACCGCATGATAAACTTGCTTGCCGTTCTTTACCAGAACATAAGTCCCTATTCCATACCTGTTTTATCAATTTGATTTATTTGATTAGTTATATGGCAACAACCCCTAACTAGATACAGGACCAAACTGACAAAACAGGCTTATCGGTGAGTATGTTCAAGGAGTCCAGACGTGCCAAAAAAGTAGAGAATGATTTAAAAGCTAGTCAAAGGTCGAGCCTTATAGTATGGACAGAGTTATTTACAGTATGAAGAGAATGAGATAAAAAGTACAGCTTTTAATACGAGGAAACTGCTCATCTTAATATTGACAACTTACTTCGCAGACAGGGGAATCCTTCGAAAGGAGTGTTGGGGGAAACATCTCGGCCCCTCCACTGGACACCTTGGCCCTCCACAGGACCCTCCACTGGACACTTTGGCCTCTCCACTGGACACCTCGGCATCTCCACTGGACACCGGCCTCTCCACTGTACACCTCGGCCTCTCCACTGGACACCTGGGCCCCTCCACTGTACACCTCGGCCTCTCCACTGGACACCTCGGCCTCTCCACTGTACACCTCGGCCCCTCCACTGGACACCTCGGCCTCTCCACTGGACACCTCGGCCTCTCCACTGGACACCTCGGCCTCTCCACTGGACACCTCGGCATCTCTACTGGACACCTGGGCCTCTCTACTGGACACCTGGGCCCCTCCACTGGACACCTCGGCCTCTCCACTGGACACCTCGGCCTCTCCACTGGACACCTCAGCCTCTCCACTGGACACCTCGGCCTCTGCACTTGACACCTCGGCCTCTCTGACAACTTTAGAGACCACAAAGTCCAGATCCACACTGGAGAACACAGTGTCTAGTCCTGTAGAATAGAAAACATCGTCCAAATCTGCAGCGGAGAAAGCATCTAAATCTGTCCAGTCCATTTCCCCCCGTTCTGACTCCTCTCCCTCTCCCATTAAATCCACTCTGGCTACACCTTTCTCTCCCCAGTTGCGCGTTGCTGCATGCCCTCTAGTTCAAATGGACTGGACAGAACTAGAGTAGCAAAGAGGAAGACCAAACAGAACTAGAGGAGGAAGAGTGGGACGGATCAGAACTAGAGGAGAGCGTGTCACCTGCAGAGACGGATCTACTGCCTACAGAGATAGATCTACTGCCTGCAGAGATGGAACTACTGCCTGCAGAGATGGATCTACTGCCTGCAGAGATGGACTACTGCCTGCACAGAGAGGAGAGAGAACACAAGCAGGAACTCAAGGAGCAGTGGGAGGTCTGGTTGAAGCAAATGGATGTGGAGAAATTTGTGCTGAAGGAGAGTCAGAAACTCGAGGAGAGAAACAGGGAGCTATCTCTGTAGGCAGTAGATCCGTCTCTGCAGGCAGTAGTTCCATCTCTGCAGGCAGTAGATCCATCTCTGTAGGCAGTAGATCCGTCTCTGCAGGCAGTAGAACCGTCTCTGCAGGCAGTAGAACCGTCTCTGCAGGCAGTAGTTCCGTCTCTGCAGGCAGTAGATTCATCTCTGCAGGCAGTAGATCCGTCTCTGCAGGCAGTAGTTCCATCTCTGCAGGCAGTAGATCCGTCTCTGCAGGCAGTAGTTCCGTCTCTGCAGGCAGTAGATCCGTCTCTGCAGGCAGTAGATCCGTCTCTGCAGGCAGTAGTTCCATCTCTGCAGGCAGTAGATCCATCTCTGCAGGCAGTAGATCCGTCTCTGCAGGCAGTAGATCCGTCTCTGCAGGCAGTAGTTCCGTCTCTGCACGTTGGATATCAGTCTCTGCAGACTGTGGAACATTTTGTTCCCCCCTTTCCCTTGCATTCTGTCCACCTCTTCCTCTTGCATTCTGTCCACCTCTTCCCCCTGCATTCTGTCCAATTCTTCCCCTTGCATTCTGTCCACCTCTTCCCCTTGCATTCTGTCCACCTCTCCCCCTTGCATTCTTTCCACCTCTTCCTCTTGCATTCTGTCCACCTCTTCCCCCTGCATTCTGTCCACCTCTTCCCCTTGCATTCTGTCCACCTCTTCCCCTTGCATTCTGTTCACCTCTTCCTCTTGCATTCTGTTCACCTCTTCCTCTTGCATTCTGTTCACCTCTTCCTCTTGCATTCTGTCCACCTCTTCCTCTTGCATTTTGCATACCGATCCCTCTCACTGTCTGTGGAATTTTCAAGTTCAGTCTTTTGATGACCCAGGGATCAACATGGGCCGTCTGTGTACAGTCATTTTCACCAGTCTGGCACTCCATGCAAGTACATGCTAGGTCTCTCACACAGATAAGGCCAGGAGATAGGCCCCGGACAGCATGGAATGCTCTTGTTCCCTTTACTGAGGTACTTTTCTCCCTTTCTGGACGGTTTCTGTTGATCGACTCAACCAGAAAGAACTGTCGTCTGCTATGATTGCACAGGTTGTTGATACTTGAGGATCGGGTTAATCCCCTTTGTAGGTAGTGATGCATCGTTGCTGCATCGGTGATAACGGTTTCTCCCCGTATCACACCCATCCGAGCTGCAGTTTTCGTGACTGCACCTGCAGCGTCAGATGGCCCCTTTCCGTGCGCAGAACCGAAATAGTACCTTTCTCTGTGTACACCCCAGTCCTCTTCAGCGAAGCTTATGTCAGCGAACGGACCTCGAAATTTGAATTGGGATGCACATCCGTCTGTAAATTCAATTAATTTGGTGAATTGTACTTCCCTTTCAGATCTTAGGAACCTTACTGCCCTATCTGTAAATTCGTGCACGGCATGATGGTCATGTATTGTGTCATCCGAGAGGAACACTAGCACATCCATCACAGGGTGTATAGCTCCGTCACATGAAGGACAGTTGTAGAATGCGACAAGAGGATGGATGGTGACAAGATTCTTTAGCCAATGCGCAGAACTGATTTCATTCTGAAAGAAGGTCGCGTAATTTTCTGAAAAGTCTAGGTGCATTATTACAGATTGTTCTGGAATGTTCTTCGACAAAGTGTTGAAGCAGCCTTTCTGCCAGTCGGCTACATGGAGGTGTTTCGGCAGACTGTCCAGCTCAGCCACCAACTCGTCGATCAGCTGAACTACTGGACCAGACTTTGACCCAAGTGTCTTTTTACTGGACTGCTTGGCAGAGTCTCCATGACCGCTGGTGTATTGGACGCTTTTCCAGTACGTCCACGTAACAATTTCGTCTTTTGTGTTTTCGATTAGCGGTTGGAGATAGTCTTTGATTTTTTCTGGACCACAATCTTCACACTGTCTTGTTATAAACTGTTTTTTGTGGAATTCAGCTTCTGGATCCTTTGGCTTTGCACACAGGGTCAGGTCAATCAATTTTCGATTGTCTGGAATTTTACACCCTTTCAACATTTTTTTTTACAGAGTTGGTTGATAGCTTCTAGTTTTAATTTTGAATTGGTGCAATATTCGCACCTGCTCTGATATAACTTTTGGTGTCGTGTTGTTTTGATGCCTTCTGGTCGCAGTTTGTGAAATTGAGAAAGTGATATAGAGACTTCAGGGTTTTTCTGTTTGAACCCTTCATACACTCTGCTCACTGGTTCTGTGAGAACTTTTTTGATTGCATGGTCTTGGTACTCACAGCCTTCTTGTCTGGGATGTGAGAGGATGACGAAGAGAAGTGATCTTCTACCAACTCAATTGTTGCCTTGTCTGTGGTGTCCTTGCGCTTTTTCCTCGCTAGGAATTCTGATATGTCATCGTCTGTGACGTCCTTTGCAGCATATTTTCGCAGAAATTTATAGTTCATTCCTATGTCATCGGATAAAACTTTATAATTTCTTGCTTTTCGGACAGTCTTCAAACTGTATGCCATACATCGTTTCACAACTCCCCAGTAGTTTCCTCGTTTGGTTTTTAATGTCTCCATGCTCCTTTTTAGACTGCTGGTGTACATATTCAGCTTCTTTGTACTCTCAATGCTGCTTCTCGTCAAACCGATATCATGAAGGGCTTTTGATTTTTTTGGAGAAGCATTTTTCACCATATGTTCAAGCACAAGTGCAAATTTCCGTGGGCTTTTTGTCATTTGTTTTTTAACCCTATAAACTTTCTGCTTCACTGCAGAGGAAGAGGGGGTGCTTGTACTAGTTGCAGGCTGAGGAACCAGATATGTTAATAGATCAGGAATTGTTTTTTGTCGCAGCACTTTCTTTCTGTTCCTATCATACTCTCTTATCCTCCTTTTTTTCTGGGAGGTCATATTTTGCCGACTTCTCTGTTTCGCCTCCCTCCACTGACGTTTTCTTTTCTCATGTTCTGATCTAGTCGGTCTATTTTGTTTCTTGGGATCTAAATAGTCATGAATGTGTTTCCCTGCTGTTTTTTTCCGCTCCCTATGTCTAGCCTGGCGAACTCTTGCATTCTCTCTCTGTGAATCAGTTAAGACACGCCCTTTCCGTTGATTCCTTTTTCTTTCTGCCTCTTTGGCTTTGTAAGTAGGGTCTTCTTTCTTTTGTCGTCGGTATTCTCTCGCTCGTAGGGCGGCCTTTTCTCTTCTCAATGTGTCATTGCTGTCCTGAAAAATAGAAATGATGTCATGAGTGTGTGTGTATCACAGTGTGTGTGTGTGTGTGTGTGTGTGTGTGTGTGTGTGTGTGTGTGTGTGTGTGTGTGTGTGTGTGTGTGTGTGTGTGTGTCTGATAGTGTGTGTGTGTTTATGTGTCATAGTCGGGGT